AAGAGCTAAATGTTAGTTAACAGTTAAATATAAACATAAGGTAATGGGTGTTCATTGTACTATTCATCCATTTTTATACATGTTTGAAATTTTTCATAACATAAAATTGGAAAGTTACCATAATATTTCACATACAAAAAAAGAAAAAAATTGCTCCTTAAAAGTATCTTACTAGGGCTGGGGTTGTGGCTCAGCGATAGAGCGCTCACCTAGCATGTGTGAGGCGCTGGGTTCAATCCTCAGAACCACATAAAAACAAATAAGTAAAATGAATGTATTACGTTCAACTACAACTAAAATAAATATTTTTTTTAAAGTATCTTACTAGGCCAGGCACAGTGGTGCTCGCCTGTAATCCCAGCAGCTGGGGAGGCTAAGGCAGGAGGATCTAGAGTTCAAAGCAAGTCTCAACAATGGGGAAGCACTAAGCAACTCCGTGAGATCATGTCTCTAAATAAAATAGGAAATAGGGCTAGGGATGTGGCTCAGTGGTTGAATGCCTGAGTTCAATCCCCAGGTGTCCGTCGTCCGCCGCCACTCCCCAAAGAAAGTATCTTACTATGGCTGGGCATTGTGGTGTATGCTACTCTGGAGAAGCTCCAGCTACTCTGGAGGCTCACAAAAGGATCACAAGTTCAAGGACAACTGGGCAATTTAGTGAGACCCTGTCTTAAAAAATAAAGTATCCTACTAAGTGGGACAGCAAACAGAAAAGAGATTAAGTGCCTTTAGTAACAAATTCAGTCTGAGGTACAGTTTTGCATTTAACCCATTCAAGGACCAGCTAAAAATGGTAAGTACTCTGGTAAGAACACAAATCTACAGAAGGCATTTACACAGACCTTAGACTAAAGAGACAAGTTAAAAATAAAGGAAAAGTAAATGCAATGAAATTTAGCTGGATTTTGAAGAATGAAAAAGATATAAATAAATTGTCTGAAAGAAAAGAAACAATTAACAAGGATTAGCCTAAGCAAAAGTCAAAGTACAGCAATAAATCAGAAATAAACCAGGTCAGTTTGAAATGTGGATCCCTGTAGAATCACAAGGGGAATTTTTATAGAAAACTCATTCATCCTTCAATTTTTGTAATGACAGGGTCTCACTTAAGTAGCTGAGGACCTTGCTAAGTTGCTGAGCCTGCAATCTTCCTTAAAAATAAAAAATACAAGAATAAAAGTCACTATGATACCTGACTTCAAAATGTTCATGAAGGCCAGGCACAGAGGCTGTAATCCCAGTGACTCCAGAGGCTGAGGCAGGAGAATTCCAAGTTCAAGGCCAGCCTCAGCAATTTAGCAAGGCTCTAACCATCTTAGCAAAAACCTGGTCAAAAATTAAAAAATAAGAAAAAGGTTGGGGACATAGCTCAGTGGAAAGCACCCCTGCGTTAAATCCTTGGCTACCAAAAAAAAAGTTCACAAAGTTAAGAACAGAGTCAAAGCACACTAAGCACATTAATTAGAAATACATTCAAAAAACAAAAACAAAAAAAAGAAAAGAAATACATTCAAAAGGCTTTCATAACACAGAGAAAGGAATATGTTACCTAAAGAAATTGTCAATAAGTTTTCAAAGATATTTGTGTTAATGTTTAAAAATTGAAAATGATTTCAACAAGTAAATCTCACACTTAGCATGGGTGAGGTCCTGGGTTCAATCCATAGGAATAACAGAAAAAAGTAGGTAGTTGGCTGCTACTGAAATCCATGATGCTTTTTTCTTTTTTTTTAAAGATTTTTCTTTCTTTCTTTTAAAGTTTTATTTTGTTTATTTTTATGTGGTGCTGAGGCTGGAACCCAGTGCCTTAAGCATGCGAGGCAAGCACTCTGGCACTGGGCCATAACCCATCCCCATTACGCTTTTTTTCAATGCTACCCAGCACTGGGGATTTACAAGCAATCAAATTATGAAAATAAGGCATAACAAAAACTTTATGAAATCAGTTAACTCTACTAGAAAGTTATTAAAATGCTTATGAGCTACAAGAATCATGTTCTATGGGTCAGGTGCTAAAGAGCTTCTATGTCTAGAATTAGTATAAATAGTTTATAAAGGGGAGAGAAAAGTCACCAAAGAAAACACATGTTCAAGAGCAAACTTTTAAATCTAAACCACTGATAATAACAAAAGACAATACTTTTCGGTTTTGGTACAGGGACACTCAAACACTGAGCCACATCCCCAGCCCTTTTTATTTTTGAGACAGGGTCTCACTTAAGTAGCGGAGGGCCTTGCGGAGCCTGGCTTTGAACTTGCAATCCTCCTGCCTCAGCCTCCCCAGCTTCTGGGATTAAGACAAGCACCTGCTCACCTGGCTAAAGACAAGACTTCTAAGTATTAAAACTATCATCAGGCAACTTGTCTCACAACATATTTCAGCAACAAAGAAACTTGTAACTGTTTCAACAAAACATTTCTTATCAGCAAGTTTCAACACATATGAAATTCTTAAAGTTTTGTAGAAAACTAAGTTTGGAACCCATACTTGTTTAAATAACATTTATGATAGTTAAATATTTTTATAATGAAGATTGCTCACATGGGGACTCCCAACTAAGTAATACTATCTTTCCTAAAAATATTTGTAACATTCCAAATATTTTTCTAAGTAACCTCAAAAAGATTACATAAATGCATTCATAAGTGAAAAACTTTTTAAAATATCTATTGTAGTTATAAAGCTTTATTTACAACTTTACTTTCTTATTCTGAAATAAATTTGAGCTTGGCAATAATCAAGCAACATTTTCCTCCAAAAGTAACATAAAAAGAACATGGACTTCTTATTACTAATCAAAGAGAGCTATGAATAAGCACCTTAAATCATTAATAAAAATATGGTTAGGGGCTGGGGCTGTAGCTCAAAGGCAAGTGCTTGCCTAGCATGTATCTGAGGACTGAGTTTGATCCTTAGCACAGTGTTAAAAAATAAAAAATAAAGGCATGATGTCGTATCTACAACTACAAAAATTATTTTTTAAATATATATGTATATATATATATATGGTTGAAGGTTTAGCTCAAGATAAATCTGTAATGGCAAAATTGATAACTTGGTATTTTTCACGAACTAAAGATTGCTGGGATTGTGGCTCAGAGGTAAAGCGCTTGCCTAGATCCTCAGCACCACATAAAAATAAATAAATTTTAAAAACAAAGGTATTATGTCCAACTACAACTAAAAATAAAAATAAATATTTCAGAAAATAATTTAGACCTTTAGTTTCACACATAACGATTTATTTTTCCTTAACAAACTGTGTTTTGGGGCTGGGGATGTGGCTCAAGCGGTAGCGTGCTCGCCTGGCATGCGAGCGGCCCAGGTTCGATCCTCAGCACCACATACAAAGATGTTGTGTCCGCCCAAAAATTTTTTTAAAAAAAATTAAAAAATTCTCCCTCTCTCTTTCCACCAAAATTCTTCCCAGGAGTATAGAAAATTAAAATTTCCCCTAAATTACTAGAAAACAGGCTAAATAAGGAACTTTAAATCTTAGCACAAACTCAAATCTTCTATTGAGTAAGGAGACCAGTTAAAAGTGCAAAAGTATCTTTTAAAAGATGGGCGTCCAGCCAGGCAAGATGGCGTGCACCGGTAATCCCAGCCATTCCAGAAACTGAGGCAGGAGGATCCCAAATTCAAAGACATCCTCAGCAACTTAGGGAGGCCTTAAAGCAATACCTTGTCACAAAATAAAATGTAAAAAGGGCTGGGGAAGTAGCCCAGTGGTTAAATGTCCCTGCGTTCAATCCCCAGTGCCAAAAGAAAAGGGAAAGATGCGTGTCAAATGCAATTAAGATTTGAAAAAGAAAAATGCCACCAGGGGAACGTTTTCTTTCAACTAACGGTCAATAGCAGTTTTGCTTGAATTAAATAGATCTACCACAACACCACGTTCACAAACATAAAATAATAGAACTCCAGAGTGTACGTAAAACCTATGCTTCCAAAAAGCGTGACTTTCAGCATAGCTTTTTGTTCCTATGCAGTCTTCCAAAGTTCCTGAACAGTTAGCTTAATGACATCTGTGTAGAAACTACACAGCTTGATAAGCTTTCTACTCCTCTGATTTGATTTAGATATAACCACTGAATGCCCTAGCAACATACCTTCTCCGTACTCCAGAAGAGCCACTAACCACAAGGGTTACAACCAAATATCAACATTTATTTTAGTTTTCTTTTTGTTTGTTTGCTTGTTTGTTTAAAACAGGCTAGCCGGTACAGAGGCGTCTTATAATCCAGCTACTCGGGATGCTAAGAATCGCGAGTTTTGGGACCAGCCTGGGCTTCACAGGGAAAAACCCTGTCTCAAATGCAAAACAATGCAAAAACAGGAATGCTTTCTAAGGTCTTAGAGTAAATAAGTTGCCAAAAAGCAACTTAAAATTAGAGACAGGGAGGGGGTTACCAAAAGGACATACGTAGGATGCATTTTCTAAAGCAAACCAAATACGAATATAAACGTTCTGAAGAAGCAGGGCTTTGCCTGTCAAGCTGGGGCCCTTATCCCTGTAAAAAACACTGAATCCAAGCCACAGTAACATCAAGGCTAAACCTTCCGCTGTTTTATAGTCTGCACATTAACTTCTCCCGAATCTTCATCAACCAACGACTCAAACCACACTCCATTCAACTCTCGGCCCATCTCCTTCCAGTCCCGTTCAAAATATCAGTTTAAACGCGCTTCCCTCCTCCAAACATCACGTCTTATTCATGCCCGCCTTACCTACGTCTTCTCCATCGCCACCGGTCCCCAGGCAGGGCCTTAGTTTCACCATGCCCTCCTTTCCTCGCCGGCCTTAAGCCTCCAGTCCCCGCCCCAAAGGTTCAAACTTGCCCCAATCAGCCCTCCCGATATTGGTCCTCCCAGCTCCTCCAACCTGTCCCCCGGAGCCCCTCCAGTCCCCCAAAGCACGCAACGGCCAAGCCTGAAAATGGCGGAGAGTACTGCCGCCTACTGCAGGCGAGCGGTCCCGCGCCACCACTGCACTCACCGTCTGGCGTTGAGCAGAGCTCCTAACGGCGAGCGAAGCGTTCGTCTTCACAGTTGGGAACGTTTCTACTCTCCAGTCTCCTTCCTCCTCCCCTCTCAATCCCTCTCCTCCAAAAGTGCAGCCGCCATCTTCCCCAATGAACCACCGAGCGCACGTCATCACGCACGAGCGTACGGTACTACGTCACGTGCGCCTGAGCCGCGGTCTCTGTACTGCTGGAGCTACGCATGTGCATAGGTGAGGGGCAGGGCCTGGCTGAGTACCCACGCGGCTTAGTGTGAGCTTTCTTTGTTTGGCTGAGAGGTTCGAGCTGGTTGCCGGAGGGCGAATGATGGGGGCGGCACTTCACAGTACTGATAGGTTTCAGGTCGTAAGCCAGCCCGGATGCTTTCAAAAACACTCCGTTTTCCAAAAATTGAAGACGGTATTTGTTCGGAGATGGATACCTTAGCTATTTGGCCAGCCCTACCAAGAGTCAAATTATGGGCAAGGCGCTTAAAATTGCTAATTTTGTGTCCCTGTGTTTCACCGTGAAAACATGTAGCAGAATCAGGCACACAATTAGTGTTCATGCATTACCTGATACCAGTTGTGCTACAGATTACTTTATTTCCTCGGGAGGCCACGTGAGAAAAACAGCCTTATGGTACAACCACTTTGGAAAACTTATTTCATCGTTCTAATTAAAGATAAGAACGCTCACCCTGCGACCTAGAAATTCTGTATACCCACCAAAGAATGTTCAAGAACATTTATAACACCTTAATTCCTAATGAACAAAAATTGGTAACCCAAATTGCCTTGCATAGTTGAATAGGTAAATTGTGGTATAGTCCTACAGCACATTTCTGGATGTCAGTAGGTAAGAATTGCTGATGAACATGAGATACTGTTAACTCAGGCACCCTGTGTAATTTCTTTTTCTTTTTTTCCTCTTTTTGGTACCAGGGATTGAACTCAGAGGCACTCAACCGCTGAGCCCTATTTTGTATTTTTAATTTAGAGACAGGGTCTCACTGAGTTGCTCAGCACATTGTGTTTGCTGAGGCTGGCTTTTTTTTTTTTTTTTAAGAGAGAGAAGAGAGAGAATTTTAATATTTATTTTTTTAGTTTTCGTCAGACACATCTTTGTATGTGGTGCTGAGGGCCGCACACATTCCAGGCGAGCACGCTACCACTTGAGCCACATCCCCAGCCCCTGAAGCTGGCTTTGAACTCTGGATCCTACTGCCTCAGCCTCCGGAGCCTCTGCCTGGTTTATGATTTGTTTGTTTCTTTTTGGTGGTGGTGCTGGGGATTGAACCCAGGCCTTGTGCATGCGAGGCAAGCACTGTAACTGAGCTATATCCCCAGCCCTTATAATTTCATTTTTATAGTAAAGAATACAGACAGGCGAGGTGGCACATGCTTGTAATCCCATTGTTACTGCTATTGACCAGTGACGAGTCCTTGCTTCCCCAATGTTGAAGAATAACACCAGAGAAGCACACGGAGGCAAGGTCAGCGTAGAAATTAGAAGTTTATTAAAGGACAGCAGAAGAAGGGGACCCAAGAGGTGGAATCTGTGGAAGTGCAGTTGTTTCCCCTTTTTATAGTTCTTTCAGTGATGGAATGTAGGTTGGAAGGCCAAGGGGTGGGGACACAGGTGGGCCAAAGAAGTAATCTGGGCAGGAAGGACTTCATTAACACTTCTTTGGGATGCGCTATCTTCAAATCTGCTGGGGCTGTTCATTAACATTTCTTTGGGATGTACTTTGGGCCTTGGGCTTTTCTTGGGACTTTATTAACATTTCAAGAGTTACTCAACTTTTCTGGAAATTCATTCTCAACATGGCCTCCATTTTAGATTCCATTTTAGATTTCACTCAATATTAGACTCGATTTACCTAACTACACTGCCTAATTTTAAATCTGGCTTCATTCCCCCCTCTAATTTTGGGAACTCCTTACTGCTGTAAGGAAAGGGGGTGAAGATCGTTCTGGCTTCTTCAGGCTGAAAGGGGATGATATTGGGCAAGCAGTTTGGAGTCCCCTTTAAAAATAGGATCTATCGAGTGGTCCATGATAGAAGTCAGATTGAGAAGTAATAGGCTGGAGGGCCATTTGAGTGATAGGTGATCTATAAGAGAAACAAGAATTCATTAGTACTGGAACCAGATTGATGCAGCAATAAATGCCACAGCACAGGAATATGTCAATGAGTATGATGCAAAAGACAGAGACTAACAGTGTTTTCCACCAGGAATTAACAGAGAACCAGGAGCTAAGATATTGTTCCCATGACAAAGTTGGTGAGGACATGGCTTCTATCTGAGCATATAAATTTTTAAGGATATTTGTCACATTGCCAGAATTGCCAGGGATGTAAATACAACATTTAGCTTTTAGGGTTATAGATGTCCCTTTTCTTAAGATACAGTTTAATAATTTAATGTCATCTGATCTTGCAAAATCTTTTTTCTAGTATGACCTGTGTCTAATAGAGAAACCTTTAATCTTGTTACTCAGGGCTGGATAATCATACTAGCAAACACCAAGCCTACCTGTGTAGGTTAGAAATACCTGTAGGCCTTAAAATAAAAAATACTCTGGCAGTTCCTTTTGATAGTTATCAGGCATTTCTGTCTGAGAATCCTTTTGTGTAGCCTCCAGTCTTACTTATTTTGGGAGGCTAACATAAAGTGTATACCTTAAAATATTAGTAGTAGTAGTAGTAGTAGTAGTAGTAGTAGTAGTATTTAAAATGTCCAGGAATGGCTGTGTTTTGGTTTTAACTATCTTTGCTAAGTGTTTAAGATGAAGCAGTCAAACTGACTTTTGTTTCTATCTATTGTTAACAGTCAGCTGAGTTTTTAATGGGAGTCATTCCTGGGGAAATTTGAGAGTGGCTTCTCAGTTCTGCTAGTGCCATTTGCGCTAGGATGGGTCCAGGTCTTGCTTGACCATGTGGCTTCCCTCGGAAGCATCAGGGATGTCTCCCTTCTCTGATGACCCTCCTCTTCATAGCAAATGCACTGATTGGCTTTCTGTTCTCCAGTGGTTCATTAATCTCCCTGATCGGGAGGTTATGTGGCCCAGAGTTGCAAAGCTCTTTGGAGAAGTCCCCTGCTCCCTGGATTCAGACTAACTCAGGGGGCAAGAGGCAAATATTGGTTTTCTTGGCCCTTTTAATTTAACTTTAATTTTAAAACTTAATCTTAAACAGCCAGCAAATAAATTTCAACAACCTTTTATTAAGAGTACTGGGCTTTAATATCTCTCTCTCTATATCCTGTAGGTGATAACTCATTATCTTAAATCAACCCAGGTTGTGTGTTCTTAAATCAGTGTTCTTAAATCTCTGCAAAACATTAACAGGCAATCTTTAGACCATTTATAAGAACACTACAAAATAAAATTATCAAGAGTAAAAACATATTTAGTTCATGTAATAGCTACCTTGAATTTTTGCAGAGTTATACATTATATCCCCTGTTTGAGATCCAAGTCATCTTGACAAAAACCACTTCTGGACAAAACTTTAAATGTACTGAAATCTGGCCTACTTCTTTCATAGTCATTTTCATATGTAGTGAGATGGGACACAGAACCTTTTCTCAGGTAAGGTGGGGCTCTTCATAAACCTTAAGTACTATAGTTCTGAAGCTGATCTTTGCTTTTTAGACATTATTTAATAAAACCTACACAAATTGTTGCTCAAGTTTACAAAAATATTAACTAACACAATATAATATCACATCTAAAACATGAATTAAAGAAAGACTGAAAGACTTTAACCTTTTGTAGAAAAGTAGCAAAGTACTTTTGTGTTTTGCAATAAAACCTTTATACAGATTAGGCTCTCATTAACTTAAAAATACATTTAGATTGTATCTTAGTGTAAAAAGTAACATAGAACTTTACATATCTTATTGATAACAATTTCAGTTATAGAACACAAATGATTGATTTGAGACATATTCCCCCAAATTGCCCAGACTGATCTTGAATTTAACCATCTTACCTCAGCCTCCCAAGTAGATGGGATTACAGGTTTCTTGCTCTTTGTCTGTAAACAATCACTTATGCAGCCTTTTCTGCATAAGTGATTGTTTATAAGAATATATGTCACTCAGGTTAACTTGAGTTCATATTCCTCAGCCTTGGTTTGCATATTTGGCTCAAATAAAGTTTTATTTTATTTAAAGCAGTGATTCCAATTTGCATGAACAAGACATATATACACTGGGTTAGGGAATGTAGCTCAGATAAGACTGTATAATTTTATTTTTTTGATGGGGTTCTTTTTTTTTTTTTCGTCTTTTTTGGAACTGGGGGTCGAACCCAGGGCTTTGCGAATGCTACACTGAGCTACATCCCAGCCCTCAGATAAGACTTTACATATGTTATGTTATGAAGGGCTTGCCAAGAACCTACAAGGTCTTGGGGTTTAATCCCCAGCAGTATAAAGCAACTAAAGTGCCTGAATTAAAGACCCAAAAGTAGCTGGTGGGCGTTTAACTCAGTGATAATGTGGGTTTAGCATGCATAAGTAATGTAAGATCTCTGGCATCTGCTTTAAATGATTCCAACCAACATCAGCAAGAAAGGTTGAGAAAATACAGCTAAATTCTTCTAATCCATGAAAATAACAAAAACAATGGCAAAATTTGTCAGAATCAACTTTTGCAGTTTCTCAGAACTCTTAAATTCTTTCAAAGACTTGACAAGTAGATCAAAAGTCCAAGGCCAGCCTCTGCAATGTATTAAGACCCTGACTTACTAAAAAGTAAAAAGGGCTTGGGATATAGTCAGTGGCAGAACACCTCTAGAATGGAAGGGAGAGAAGTGCTGAAACCTCCCTAAGGGTTAAAGGTAGAGGAAGGGAAGATGGGGGAAGATACATACAAGATAGGTAACCAAGAATTTACCCTATTCTACTTTTGTGTATATTTGAAAATTTCTTTAATAAAAAGTCTCCTTGGTTTGGGATAAATAGATAATACTGACAGCTGGCACAAAATTCAAGTTATAAAAGGAAATACAGTGAAAAGATGATCATCTCTCACCCATGACCTCTCTGGAGGCTACCATCTTTTTAAATTATTTTTTTTAAAAAAAGGCTTATTTTGACCCATGGTTCAAAGGGCCACTTCTGGTGATAGCATTCGTGTGTGTG